TTGAGAGAGAGTGCAAGTGGGGAAGGAGCAGAGAGAGAGGGGGTGTGGGACAGATGATCTGGAGCGGGCTCTGTGTGGACAGCAGAGGGCCTGATGTGGGGCTCTAACTCACAAACCACGAGATCATGACCTGAGCCGAAGTCAGACACTCAACCGACTGAGCCACCCGGGCACCCCAGAAAGTGGACCAAACTTGACCTGGTCTGATCGTATACATGCTGGGGGAATAATGATTTTCTCTTGCCTTACAACACATTTATTTAATAAAATAGTAACTAGGGACCTACTATGGGACGTAATCCCTACCCCTTCTTCCAAGTGTGGTATATTTGTGCTCAGCAGAAAGCCATGTTGTAACTATCCTCAGGCTACTTGGTGTAAGTGCAGGTAATTAGCATTTGAAGCTTGCTATCTTCTGACTTCATGACCTTCTAAATTCATTCTGTCCCAAAATAAGTTGGTAGCCAGAATGCCTTGAGTCATAGCTATAAAACATGTGTCCTGGGGCACCTGGTGGCTCAGTCGGTTGAGCGTTCAGCTTCCGATCAGGTCATGGTCTTGTGGTTCATGGGTTTGAGCCCCATATTGGGTTCTCTCCTGTAAGCGCAGGGCCTGCTCTGGATCCTGTGCCCTTCTCTCTCTGCCCCTCCTCAACCCGCTTGCTCTTTCTCCCAAAAATAAACAAAAAAAAAAAAAAAGCAAAAAAAAAAGCAAAACCAAACGTGTCCTGCCTGGATTTTGGTGTGTTGATATTTGATTTAGGTTTAGTTGAAGCACTTGTTTAAAATATTATTACTTTGCATGGTGTGAAATGCAATACATAACAGTAAGCAAAAAAAAAAAAAAAAAAAAAAAAAAAGTAAGCACTTTAAGAATAAAATGATTAGACTGGGGCACCTGGGTGGCTCAGTTGGTTAAGCGTCCAACTTCGGCTCAGGTCATGATCTCACGGTTCGTGAGTTCGAGCCCCATGTGGGGCTCTGTGCTGACAGCTCAGAGCCTGGAGCCTGCTTCAGATTCTGTGTCTCCCTCTCTCTCTCTCTGCCCCTCCCTCACTCATGCTCTGTCTCTTTCAAAAATAAATAAAAATGTTAAAAAAAGGTTAGACTGAGGAGGATTATAAGTTGTTTTCTTTGGATATAAATGAAAACCTAGTTATTGTGTACTTTGAATACAGGGAAATCTTGATTAAATGACCCTGATGTACCTTTCACTTACTGTTACACGTAATGTGACTTCTAGTGTACCACATCTTGTGCTCTCCTTCCTCTAGGCTGCCCTACCCAAATGGTTTTATTTATGTATATATTCTTACATATTTTTGTTTGATGATCTTTCTATTTAAATAACTGGAGTTGTTATAAACAAAACATTCTTTTTTTTTTAAAGCATTCTTTTTTCATTGAGATATAATTCATATACCATAAAATTCACCCTTTTAAAGTATACAATGCAGTGGTTTTCTAGAGTATTCACAAGTTTGTGCAACCATTACCACTATTTAATTCCAGAAATATTCCATCATCCCAAAGCATTATTTTTACAACGTAATATCATGTCTGTGTCGGTCTGCACTCTCTCCCCAACACGGGGCTTGAACTCACAACCCTGAGATCAAGACCTGAACTGAGATCAAGAGCTGGACGCTTAACCAACTGAGCCACCCAGGCATCCCTGTCTTGCTTTTATAGTAAGCACTTCCTCTTACAGTTTTATCACTCAGGTTTGCATCTCTAGACACCATAATTTGCCTCCCCACAACCTTTTAAATGTGTCTTAATCTAGAAGTATCCCACACCATCCCTTTCTCTTCGAAACAGTTTATCTGCTGAACAACCTGTAGAATTTCCCACCTTCAGGATTTGTTGATTATATAATCCTGGATAGTTTAGAATAGTTTCTGTCAATACAGAAAAGTAGCCAGGATTCTACTTCAAAGATCCAAAATAAAACTGATTTTTATTGGATATGTTTCCATATTTATGGTAGAGACAATAAAACTGTATGAACACTCATCTGTTCTTTATGAAATTGCTTGACAAATAATAATGGAATACTCCAAATTAGTTCCAAGTCAGATTTCTCAGAAAGCGACACGTGTGAGGCTAGAAGTCGAACATGTCTGCAAAAGCATGTGAAACCCACAAACGACGATTACTTGGTGACTTGCACAGTTGAATGTGATGGCTGTGGACACACTGAAGAGCCAGCCTAGTGCATATACTAACAACAAACAGCTTGAGTATAGGGTTTCACATCCTAGAAAACGCAATAATACAGTCATCTTTCCAGTTTTTTTTTTTCTTTTTTCTTTTAAAAGTTTGTTTTTGAGAGAGGGAAAGCATGCACATGCACCTGAGCAGGGACCAAGAAGAGAGAGAATCCCAGGCAGGCTTTGTGCTATTAGTGCAGAGCCCCATGTGAGGCGTGATCTCATGAACTGTGAGATCATGACCTGAGTGGAAATCAAGAATTGGACACTTAACTGACTGAGCTACCCAGGCACCCCAGTCACCTTTCTATCAGAAATTTGCAAATAGGTAGCTCTTTCATGGAATATATAGATAAAACTTAAACCGACAAATACACAAATATACACCTCACTGGCCCCAACTTCTGCCCAGCAATTAAAGAATCAGTTCATTTCCTAAGGATAGTCCCCAACCCTCCTATCACAGACACTGTAGTTAATGGCTTGAAGACTGCTTTACTGGTTTTAACTAATTTTTTTTAAAAAGTTTATTTATTTATTTTGAGAGAGAGAGAGAGAGAGAGAGCAGGAGGGGCAGAGAGAGAACCCCAAGCAGGCTCTGCACTGTCAGCACAGAGCCCAATGTGGGGCTGGAACTCAGGAACTGTGAGATCATGACCTAAGCTGAAACCAAAAGTTGGACGCCTAACTGACTGAGTCACCCAGGTACCCTCCCCCAAAAATTAAATTTGATTTAAATCATAAACAATATACTAGTGTCACAAAAGGAATGGAGAAAAGAAGAAAGACCACTTAAAGTTGACTACTTAGAGGTTTTTTCCCCTTCAAATGAAACCCATTTATTATACTTTTTAAATAGCATTTCCAAAGTTTTCTCATGGTATGTAATCTTTAATATAATGCATAGAATCTTGTCATATCTTGAAGCACGAGGGAAAGTTTTTGACATTTTAAACATTAAAAAATGTAGATGTACATGTTTCATTCTCCAATTTCATTTATAATAGAAAATGAGTGTAAAGTTACCATAACAATGCAAATGAAAGAATTAGTAAACAACTCAAATTTAGAAAATTTCTTTACAATCGAGTGAGACAGATTAACAAAAGGTATAATCTGTTCAACTTAATACTTAATTTCCTACTAGAAAATGGTTTAAAACAATGATCGTTACATTGAAGATTCAATGACTGAGGTTTTGACACCCACTGCTAACCTCATGGACAGTAATTAGTGAATAATTTCTACATCAATCTCTGTATAGGCTTTTGAAAACATAATAAATTAAAGCCCTATTATCCAAACAAACCACATTCCATTCTATTGTGTTTTTTCACCTCCCGGTTTATAGTTTAGACAGTTTGAAGAGGTTTAAACGTGTTGCTAGGCAACTAGCTCCTGAAGCATAACGTATTTCCTTCAACATCCCAGCCCATTCTTTTTTATCATCTTCATACCTGATGGAGAAAAAAAAAGTAATCAATAAGCAGTTTTTAAATAGATAGTTCTGTACGTTTCCTTGTATTAAATATACGAATGTGGGTCTTTGAGAAAAACCTATTGGCTCTTAACTAGAGGAGGACACAGCTGACTGGTACAATATCATTTGAATTCCTCCTCAAATATGCTTTCTCTGAGCATATGTCTGAACTACCGCCATGGTGTTTAATCTGGATGTTTAGGCAGTTAATTAAGCCTTCTCTGGGAATCAAAGACTGTGCAGAGATGAAGAGTAATAATCAATCATTCACATTTGGATTGATAAAGATGGGTGGTCGCTATGAGTCAAAGTCAGCAGACTCTACATTGAGTAAGAACTGAAAAGTCAGGGACAGCTGGTCACCTTGATTATAATTTCAATCCTTCCCATACAGTGGTGCCCACCATGGCAGCTGATGCTAGTGATCACTCCAGAAGAATCCATTCCCTTCTGCTTTATTGTCCTGTGTGAATACTATTAGATTTTGCATTTGATGTTAGGTAAGCACTAACATTAGGTTGTTCCCTCAGGGAATATTCACGGTTATAAAGATACAGGAACTTGAATTGCTTTGAAATATGTGTGCCTCTACTCTGCCTGGTGCCTGGAATGCCTTCTCTGCATGAGGAATTCCTAAACGCTGCCCTCTCTCTGAAGCCTTTTTGTAGCTTTCCCTTGGTTTCTCACATTGTCCTTTATATAGTATCTATTATAGCAGTTACCATTCTATTGAAAAATTTTCCTCATATTTATGTCCTCAACAAGCTCAAGGGTATTTGAGGGCAAATAATATATCTTATTCACCTTAGTATTCTCCCTCCTCCAGAAGCTATTAATACTTGGCACAAAGGAAATACCCCCAAATCATTCTATGATGATGATTTAAAGTAATAATTTTTAAAAGTAGCTCATACTTATGTAAGATATGTCCTATCTGACTTAATTTAACAATAGTCCAAATTTAATTTTCAAGATTTGTACTGTACACCAAGTGATTTTTACATTGAGAAAAGTAGACAAAAAAATATTTTACCACTAATAAAGGGAAGAACTTTAATTATCTATGCAAAATTTGGGGCAACAAATTAAAAGAACTGTTTTAAGTGACTTAAAGAAAAAGTGACCACATTTAAGCAATATCAGGTTAAATGAGGCTTAAAAGCATTTGCTTCCTGACAGTTATGTATTTTTTATTTTTATTTATTTTTAATTTTTAAAAATTTAATGTTTATTTATTTTGAGAGAGAGAGAG